TGTAGCCAAACCTTGGACTACAAAGGTCCCATAGATTACTTTAAAATACAGCAGACCTCCAAAAGAGTGTGGGGAATTATGCACAAGCATGCAGAAAATTTCCATTTCATTAGGTGACTCTGCCACAAAAATCTTGGGTTTTGATACAAGTTTTAAGGTTGTATAATTTCAGTGGGGAAGCTGAAAATAACTGACAAGGAATACACACGTGTGCTAATACTAGATGTCAAAATGGAAAAAAGCGCCAGTGCGTTTAGGAAGGACACTCCTGATCTTCTGTGCTGGCACAAAGGTCTGCAGCAACTTTAGTTCAGCTCACACCATGTGTGCAGATATCATTAGAGGAGATACCGAAACTGATCACAGTAACCTTCACATCCCTCCCACCCCGCTCCTCGCCGCCTTCATCACCAGTTTCATCCTCGCTTCTCTCTCTCCTTGTTGTTTTCCCTCTCAGCACTTTAATCTTAAAAGCAAGCTGCCCCTGATGAGGAAGATCAAAGCAGCCCTGCACCAAGCACAGGTCACCAACTCCATCCTCGTGATCATGGCGCACGGTGATATTATTGATTTCTCCGAGATCAATCTTGTCAACTGCTGTTATCCTCTACTGCACCAAAGAGAAGCCGGACGTGAAGATAGAAGGAGGAGGAGGAGGAAATTCCAGCGTGTTATGTAAGTTGCAAGGAGGATTTTTCACAACGTAGCACAAGTCCACAAGAACTTAGACTTTTTTTTCCCTTTCTTTTTGTCTAAATTTGTCTGTCGTGTCAGAGGGACGCTTGTGCCGATTTGGCAGGGAGAGCTTTTCTGAGAAATGAGAGAGATGAATGCTCTCTCATAGCCACGGGGAGTTGCATGACGTCAGTCGCCATTCACTGTTTGCGCTCATTTTTGTGTTTTGTCACAGACACACACACACACACATGGATGTATGAAGCAGTGTTTTTTTCCAGATGAATGCCTGCATAGATGCCTAGTTCTTAAGTAAGATAACCCTTTGGAGCAAGGCAGAGGTAGATTACATGGCTGCTGAGTCCAGAGTCACATCCAGGGATCCAGTCAATGTGGTGGGAGGGAAGGATGGAGAAGGGAAAGAGGAAGGGAGGGAGAGGGAGGGAGAGAGACAAGGAGAGGCGGAAGCTGGTGAGGGGTTTCTATTTCAAATCTCCCCGGACCCCCAAGGCACTTCCGTTCTGGCAGCATCCTCCACCAAAATGAATCATTTCCATCAAAGGAGAAGCTCTGACCATTGAGTGCTTTTCCCCACCCAAAGCAAACTCACATCACTGTCGTATCTATCTGCTGAAAAAAAAGAAAGAAAGCCCACTCTGTCCGCTTTCAAACGACCGTCAGACACAGCGGCTTTAACGGGCTGCCAAATCAAAATCTGACAAGCAAAATGAACTAGACGTCAGCTCAGAAAAAAGGAAAAGAAAAAAGAAAAAGCTTCTGTTAATGATAGAAAACACACCTCCTTCCATTCCTGGTGGCAAACTTGTTTTTCACGCTCTTATATAACACATCTATTATGTTGCCCTGCAGAGAGGCTGCTTTAGAAATCATCTTTTCTCACACTCGGATTTCTTCAATATGGCCTTAATATTTTCATTACCCCCCACCCCCTCCTCCCATGAGCAAAACCACTAATTTTACAATGGAGGCAGACAGTATTTGATGCCCTACAGCTGCAGTGAAGTAGCTTAAACTGCTTGGCAGTGTCATGTGTGCTGCAGTGGTCCGTCTGTCTGTCAGTCACACGGATCAATAGGTGGTGCTCTTGCATGGGCTGCTTAAATCCCCCCCCACCCACCCATCTGCCCTATCTCCAAGTCGCAGAAGTTCTACATCTTTGTGCACCCCCGAACTAAAACACACACACACCCTCCTTCTTTTGTGTGTGTGTGATGGTGGTGGTGGTGGGGGGTGGGGGGGGGGGGGGGGGGGGGTTCTTTTCCACCGTCGTGTGATTATACATTTATTAATAACAAATTGCTGACGTCATCTGACAAATAGAGGGGAGATCGCTTGTGTAGAGGTTGATGATGAGATTGGCCGTTGAATTAAAAAGAGCGAAATTATGCGCATTTAGAGGAAAGGTGGTGTTCTAGGTCTCCTTCTTTTTTGCGTGTTTTGTGCGTGTGTGTGAGAGAGAGGCAACAAAATTACAGCACCGAGGCTTGACAACGTGAAGCAGTGACACGCACACAAACACACACACAGAAGCAGCTCTCTCCGTGCGCGCAGCCGGGGCTGTGCGTCCGAGTGCGCCAGTGAGTGTGTGTTTTGAATTCAAATGCAGCAACACACCAGAACTGCAAATGCGGAGACTGAGGAGAGGATGGCGATGATGTGTTTGGGGTAGTAGGAGGGGGGACGGAAGCCTTCACATTTTTTTTTTTATATCCCCCCCACCTCTAAATGTAATTAACGACCTGGCTCCATCACGTATACTGCCCCCATGATAAGTATAGCTCACTTCAGAGGATATAGCGGCCGTGCCAGGTACATTTGGCAACATGAAGCGGGCGGTAATGATAATAAAGATTCACCTACCATGTTGACTTCTGAGACCATGTCTATGCTGGCTATGTCTATATTCATCCCCACAGCAACCGGGGCACCTGTGAAGGAAGGAAGGGGGTGGTGAAAAAGGAGGCATTAACACGGGACATGAATTATTCTCACCATCATGTAAATTTTAACAAATTCGTGACGCCAGTGCAGGTTCCTCTCCGAACCCCGCACCTACAGAAGGCTTGTGCATCATCAGCCCGATCAAGAAAAAAAACCCCTACACGCTTGATACACAGATGAGCTTAAATGGTGTTAATTTCATTTATTTAGCGGCGTAATCAAACATTGATGAGCGGTATCGATCACGTTAAAAGCCCCCCCATCATCATATGAAATATATGCACATCATCTCTCTTGGGCTAATCGGAAAGGCCTATTTGACTGTGAAGGGATAATTATGTAAATGAAAGCAGATTTTGCGATTCATTAAACATGTATCGCACGTCAGGAGGGCGTGAAAACATGACATTCCCGTTTTCAATTTGCTCGTTACCTCCGAAATCTGGCCTCAACCGAATGTCGTATCCTTTCATCAGCCTGTCCACTGTTTCTTTTACCAGAGGCATATTGCTCGGATCTTTGATATCCTTGATGCTGCGGAGAAAAGGGTGGTGTAATGCAAGAAAAGAACCACATATTAAAAAAATAGCGCATTAATGTCACGCGCCAGGCACGCGTTCACAGAGCTAAAATCGCATGCAAGACACACAGACGCAAAAAACGAGATTACCTTTGAGCCCACACAAAAGTCACTAGTAAAGAAAAAGTCAAAATCCCAAAGTGGTTTTTCCTGATCCTCCCCATCGCAACAGTTTTTGAGGCGCCTTCGGGATGCGAGTGAGGGGAGCGCACATCCAACTTACTCCAGACAGTGCAGAGGAGCCAATGAGGGGCGCATGCGTGCAGCCAGCCCAAGATCAAAGAGTGGAGACTGATGATGGTGGATGAGCAGTTTCCATTGCAGAGAAAAATATTAAAGGGACAAGTGAATGTGCGTAATGAAGAAACAAGCGTTTGTGGCAGGAGTGAAAACACCGACAACCGCGTTCGTTTAGGCTGCTTTTATTCTTCGTGCTGATTACACGGCAGATGAGTTTGTCTATTTCCTGACAAGGTCGAAGAATGGAAAAAACTGCAGGGTTTAAAATGGTCAGATTAAGTTAAGAACAACTTTATTCCCTCTGTTTTCATCTTACCGGATATATTAAGTGGTGAAAAACAGAATCAATCCATCACATGTACACGAGCCTACCTTTACACAACTATCTTTTATGCATCGTACATACAAAAATAGGAAAAGAATACCACCATCACCCATGGGTATATATCGTACTCCTCCCTGCAGTGTTTCCAGAGGACCTGCTGTACTTCTGGAAATGCAAGGGGAGCACCAAAGCAGAAATGTGGGGTGGAAAACACAAGCCCACAAGTCTTCTTCTTCTTCTTCTTCTTCTTTTTCAGGTTTCAGTACATTTTTGAGCCTTCAAGGAGGGATGCAGCCTCCTCTAAATTGCCTTTGATGTTGTTGTAGTGGGAGCTGTGCTTCTGTAGAGGGCAGGTTTCTGAAAGTGTTGGTTCACTGTTGCATCACCACCAGTTAAAGCCATCATAGATTATATCATCCACATCTTTTTGATGTGTTTCTTGGTTTGTGCGTGTGTGTGGGCGTCATGCATACCGTGTGTGTGTGTGTGTGTGTGTCGTCAGCTTCGGTCCGGGGGTCTCAGAAGTTGTCATGTGTGCCTCGGTGGGGTTTTAAAGTGGCTGAGGCCCGTGAAAGGGCGGCTCTTCAGCTACTGATCAGAACACAAGTGGGCAGTGGTCATAGCCTGTGAAATGAATAGATGTGCAGCGGGAGAATAAATGAGTTTCTGATTCATTTCCTCTGTCAGATGAGAGCACAGTGAATGCTGAGAGCTCGTTCGCTGAGGCAGAGGAGGGTGAGGTGAAGCCGGCTGGATGCTGAAGGTCTCTCAGGCTGCACATGCCCTTTTCCAGGTCTTCTCAGTCTAGCTCCATAACCCTGCAACACCAGAATACAGCAGAGTGGAGGGGGGGGTGAGCAGAGTGTACAGAAGCCTCTCTGTTTCCACATTCAGAGATGCTCTCTCTGCAGTATACTGCACAGCCAAAACTGTTACCATGCTCCCTGTCCTCTCCTTAAAAAAAAAGAAAAAGAAAAAAGTAGCAGACGAGAGACATGGCGAAAATATAAAGGGGGAGAGATGTGATGCAGCTGCTCTCATGCTCTCCATCTTGTCTCTCTCATTATTCTGCAGAACGTTATAAACAAAACAACCATAAAAATTCTCTGACAGGAACATGAGAAGCATGATGAGCAGATTTGCACTCCCCAGTGTTACATAACAGATCTCTCCCCCACCATCTCTCCTTCAGCCTCTCTCTGTCTTTTTGTACTGTACCTCTCTTTTTCCTTCTTGGACATGGAGCTTTGCGCTCTATAAGCGGCTCACTTATAGGTGGGAAAGTGAAGAAGAGAAGCTTGTTCGTGTGGTTGATGCACAAAGTAAACTTAGGTTTGTTGTCACTAACACAGCCACCCTCCCTCAGGTAAACCGTACTTAAAAGAAACCAGAGCGTGATGCTTACTTTCCTCTCAAGTTAGCTGAGAGTCCAGCCTGTTGTTGTATTGTAAATCTATGATGATGATGATAAAAGCCTCAGCGCTGGCATCAATGCAGCAGCAACGCCACCTAACATCATTCTCCTTTTCCTTTTTTTTTCTTTTCCTTTTTCGCCTACAGCTCCCGGGGCTGTTTCAGCATTAGAAATTATTGATGTCTTTACTGCCTAGATGAGTGTTTGACAAAAACTGTGGGTAGTTATGGTTCCACTGAAACTATTATATTAGCAAGACAGGATTGTGGCTTTTTGAGACACGGACTAAGTATGCGTGTACACGTTTTTTTGTTTTTTTTGTTTACCGTAAGATGTTTTTAACTTCATCTGCAGAATACTGGATACCCTCCAGCTCTATATCAGCCATTTTCACTGCTTTCAGCATGACTCAGAAGGTAGGATTTAACCATTTACATTGAGATGTAAACAAGGAGAAATACATTTAAAAGGTTGTGTCTTTTTCATAAGGTTATCTTGTCTGGATAATCTTTACGAATATATTCAAAACAGCAAACCCACAGTCTACTTGTGCAGCGCTGCACCACTTTTATGTCCCCCGCTATGTTTAGATTGCTCCCCAGATCAGATGTCGTGTCCAAACCCTTTGGCATGTGCGAGTCTGTTAAGGTGCACTGTTGAAGTAAAATTTCATTTTGGGGTAGAGTGAGTGCAGATTGTGTCTTGTGGCTAAAACCCCTGCATTTTGAATCCTCTGTTAGCACAACGGCGCATGTTCTCCCTCAGACCTCTCAGGACATTGTGATCCAACCCTGTGAAAGCCCTGGCTGCGCTCTGTGGAGTCATCTGCTTAAAAACTCCTGTCGCTTGTAATTATCCACAAAATGAAGGTTAGAACTTGAATATTGAGCTCCATAAATAGCAGGAACGCTAGGAACGATGCAGGGCTGCTCAAGGAGACCATCTTGAAGGGGACTGTGGTCTAATTTAAATCAATGTCTTTTATTTATACCTGTTATTTTAAGCAGCGTGAAAAGGAAAGAAGAGAAACTCTTTGTTGAACTGGAAAATGTATTTATCATGTTAGGGCAAAAGCCAGTGGTGCCCATTTCCTCTCTGATGTACTGAAATAAAAGTGCAGCCTTTAGCAGATGTACTCAGATGTGTCTTAGTTTTGTGCTTAGTGGTGTCTGGACCAAAATGGAGCTCTCTAGCACAGATGAATAAGCTCATGCTTGGCATCACGCATTTCGTTTCCACCTTGTTTTTTTCCACGAATTATTGATGATTACTTACCTTTTAAATGTCTGGACTTCTATACACTTTGCCTTTGCCCTATTAGACATAACAAATAGACAAAAATAGATGTACCAGTGTAATTAAGAACAGGATGTTTACCTGGGCTTCTCCATTGTGTCCTTGACCAGATAGATATACCAGTAAATTAAGTTGAAGAGAGCAAAGGAAAGGGGGAAGAGGATGCGGGCATACGCATCAATAGGGCTGGTGCCGGCCAGCTGTGGGATTTGGGGAATGGCTGAGCCCTGCTGGAGAAAAATGGGCAGATGGGGAATATCTCCTGGCTCACTGCGGCTCACTGAGTGGTTTCTCCTCTTCAGGCCTTCCCGGGGGCTGCTGTCCGACTGATGGGGGGAGTAGCAGGAATGATTTTGTGGAAAAGCGAAAAGAGGTAAAATGAGGTAAGTGTTGGTTTTGTGGTAATCACTGAAAGGGAGGGGGTGGATGTAAAAAAAAAAAAGAAAAAAAGAGAGATGGGGCAGATTTTTAACCTCCAAATTTATAAATGGGAACACATGCTAACATGTTAGTGTCGTGTATGCAAGGCTGCAAGCCGGGTTTGTTTCCACAGGAGCGTTCTCACCATGGCATGCATCTCTACATTTCTATAGGAAGCAGCAGGAAGTTTTGAGGATGCATATATGATGGCTGTGAGATCACACGGGGAGGAGTGCTGGAGCTGCTCTCTGTTCTCACACTGAAGCTATTTTTAAAGCGAGCATCTAACCATGAGATCTACACATGAGGCAGGTCCCAGGAGGACACCGGGGTGGCTTACTGTATTAGCATAAAGCAGACAGTATATAGCTAGCCCAGAGATGAGAGTACACAACAGCCCATATTACTTTTTAATGCATGGTGTGCCCTAAGTGAGAAGAGCGAAAGAGGCAGGGGGACTACTTGGAAATGCATAGAAAAAGAGCCGTGTGTGTGACATAGTTTCTTTTTTCTGCTTCTGCAGCTGCTGACTGTCTCCTCATCACTAACATCACTGCATCAACTAGAGACTCAGAGGCTCTGTACCTAAAGATTCGCCATTATTAGCGCTGTAAATACACTGCGGAAAAGATGATGTAACTGAGCATTGTGTTCCTATAAAAAAAATTTTTTAAGACAACACTTATCCAGTCAACTCATGAAACTGGCTATAAAGATGTAGCCTATAGGGTATACAAGTCTCCATGTTCATAACTGGAAACTCACTGCATCTTGGCAACATATCCCTCCTTAGTAACAAAATGACTAAGTGCATTCCTAGATATAGCCTTTAAAACATACAGTATACAGTTTTGCTTTATTGCTTTGCTGAAAAAATGGATTATCTCTTAAAAGATCAGGTTAATCTAAACTACATATTTAGAATTGCTCCATTACACCACTGTGAGACTTACACTACCTCTCAGCATTACGGTTACTCCGTAATGTCCATGGTTTTGAAAGAAAAGCAAATTGTTCTAATATAACAATTAATAACTGATGGAATTAGAACTATAAATCCTTGATTTAATGATTTTATTGGAATATCTATAAAAGCCTGTTTGTTCTGTTGACATTTTATGTTACCTGTTTTATGTTTATCCAATGTAAAGGTTGATTTATCACTAAAAAGAATTTTTCTCATTTACGATAACTCCACTGAGGACTGTCTGGACCTTGAGCCCCTGTGGAGTTGATTAGAGTCTCACAATCAAACTGAAAAAATAAATTTGGTCTTTTTCCAAGTGAATGAAGATTATACCACACAAGAAATTGTGCCCAAAAGAAAATTCACACAAAGGAGTGTACTACTCTCTTTCCAACCACTACAATCTGGCACTTTAATGAAGCTGCCAGTTGAGGACCTGTGAGGTGTTCGTTTCTCAGACTAAAGACTCGGCTGCTCAGATCTCCACTTCTCTTTTTTTTCAGGTTAGAAACCGCGATCCTGTTCTGTGTAGGAAGTAGTACACACCAGAGGTTTTATGTCAGGGTCCCACATGAATAGCCTTCATTTCTCACATCAAGAATAATGACTGTTCTACAAAAATGTGGGGTTTTTAAAACTACAGTGTAAGCACAGGGGCTGAATTCTCACACACTCACTCACTAAATGTGTCGTCGCTTGTATTAGTGTGAGTGTAATGTTTTCAGCATTATAAACTTGCATTAGATGATGAAAGTGCCATTAGTGTCGCGATTGCTGGATATGCCACCCACATATGCATTAAAAATCATGATTAATAATTCCATTTATCAGTTTTTGTTATTTCTGATCGATTTAATGTAAAAAGTAGTTTTCTTTTAAAAGCAAGACATTTCTAATTGACCCCAAACATTTAAGCATTAGTGCTTGACAGTGACTTTTAAAACGCATCGAAATAGGTGGTTCAGATTTAGAAATGGCTTCTTCACATTCATCTTTCTTAACACTATCTGGTGACTACATTACCCACAGTAAACCCCAGCCACACTGGCTCTTAACAGTAAATGTCGCTTGTAACCATTATCCCACAGAGCTGAGGAGCTGGCTAAAGAGGATTCATTCTGTTCTCACCCCAATGAAATTTGCTCATTTTTGAGTCATTTATCAGGCCCTCTGGTGGAAAGATCAGTAGGGTTCCCCTTTAAAGAAGTTATATACAGCTTTTCTACATTTTAATATGAAAACTGCTTACCGAAACTGTGTCATCATCATCGCTGCCGGTGGCCAGGACCTCAAGCTTCTCCTGTCTGGCTGCCTTCTTCTTCAGACGGTGGGCCTGCAAGGTGGCGAAGTAGTTCACTGCCGCAAATTCGACGAGAGCTGACGCCACAAAGGCAAAACACACAGCAATGAACCAATCCATTGCCGTGGCATAGGCTACTTTAGGTAGAGACTGGCGGGCACTGATGCTTAAGGTGGTCATGGTCAGCACTGTGGTGATGCCTGAAGGGCAGCAGAGTATTCATGAATCACACATGCAGAGGGAGATTAGATCAAACTGGGCATGAGGGAAGAGGGGGCATACCAGCAACTGTGCGTGCAGGAACAGACTCTTTGTTGATCCAAAAAGAGACTTGTGACAGTACGACAACCATGATAAGAGGGATGTAGGTCTGTATGAGGTAGTAGCCCAGCTTCCTCTGGAGGTGAAAATAGACCACCTGCACAGAGTAGTGACCTGCAAGATAAACAGCACGTGAGAAGACAGCGAGTGTGAGGGACAGAGCGTGGTCGCACAGAACAGATGCCCTTGCTTGCCCTTCAAAAGGGAATAGCAGCTGAAAGAACCAGTTGTTGATGCTGCCAGGACAGGAACAGGTTGCTAAGTCTAAGGGAGCAAAAGAAAGAGGAGATAGGAAGAGAGGAGAGAAGACAGTGGGACAAAAAAAGGAAGGAAGGAAAGAGGAAGAGGGGGAAGGAGCCAGTGAGGTGGGGGCTGGCGGAGAGCATGCAGTGCCACTATGTGTTTGCTGCCCTGCTCTGTCTGAACACATGCATGCAGACATTCACAGACCGAAAACGTGCTGCATCATGCACGCTCACACACACTTATTTAGACGTCCTCTGTCTCACTCTGTGTTTCTTAAATGTGTATCATCGCTACATTTTGGAGCCTGCCTCATCCTTTTCTGCTCCATTCGAGGAATGTGCTGGATTCACAGCAGGGAGGCTTTCTCCTGGTAAAAAGAGAAAATGCACACACATAAAACTCACCCCCCACCCCGCCTGAGCATCCACTGGGGTTCTACATGGTTTTTAAGCGGTTTACTATTTATATTTTATTCCGGCACAGTTGATGTGGAGCACCCAGAATTTTGTTGTACACGTACAATGACAATAAAGGCCTATTCTATTCTATTCTATTCTATTCTATTCTATTCTATTAAGGTGCACAGTACGCATTAGGGCCTAACCACTTAAGCATCTTAGATGGTGGCTCAAGGAAGTCTTTGCTTTTATATATCGTCCTCCTGCGGGGAGTAATGGACACTAGTGCAGGGCTTGCAGACACTCATTTGACCCCTTTCTACTCAAACATTAATAAACACTTGTGGATCTTTTAATTATGCTTGTATATGTGGCTACGGCCATAATAGGCTGCTTATGAAAATAGATTTGTTTTTTTTATTTTGCATTACCTGTGTTTGATTTGAATATCTCCCTGGACAAAGTCTGTCCGACAAGATCGTACTGCAGAAGACTCATTGACTCTTTGGGACAGTCGACGGAAGCTATTGGTCCCTTCCTCCAGGTAAATATAATTTCACTGCTGGTGTATGCATCTAAAACAGGAAGAAAATATCACATCAACATGCTCAAGGTTTGGTCATATTTATCAATCTGGATATTCCTGGATGCTAGCGTTGGTCTGAAATACTCACAGCTTCCAAACCGCAGAGGACAGGAGTGGCCGTCCATAGGGAAATCCATCAGGCTCATTGGACACTCTGCACTGATTGTGAGCCTGAAAGCAGGAGCTGGGATCAGTCTCTGATAAATGTTCTGATTTGGTCTTGTGTTTAGCAAAAATGATCTGCTCCAACAAACAAAAAAAAAAACAAAGAACAAAACTACACGTTCACTGTGAAAAATCACCTCATGGTGTAAAGGACAGTCCCGTTCTGCATGATGCGGAAGAGCTTGTTGGGTGTGGTCATGTTATGGGAAATGGACTTCTTGGATTTTCTGAAGAAAGTGTCTGGCGTCCAGATTTTGTCCACCATGAGGTTATTCAGCCGCAGGATTTCAATGGGGCCCTCGAATTTCAGCCTCTCATCAACCCACATCTGGCGGAAAAACATGTCCATGGTGTACTCCTGAGGCACAAACGTAATATTGTTTTGATACAAAAAAAACCCACAACTACGATCCCAGATTCAAGAATGAAATTTCTATCTTCGTCCATTCATCAGCACGCACAAGACCGAGGTGACATTTCAATACAGAGTGAAAGGTGAGGGGAGACGATGAGGCAGTGATGGATGCCACTCATCCCGGATAATCATTAATCAATCCACTCAGCGATCCTCGCTCTCTGACATGTTGTCATATTGATTTAGAGGCCATCAATAACGGAGTTATAGGGCTGGTCAAACAGATTAAAGCTCATTAGATGGTCTCATGGCAGAGTGCCCATAAGGCTGGTCACTGAAGCACTATTATCTCCCACAGTCAGCACATACACACTTCCTGACAGAAGTACTATCTTACCATTTCAACATCTGAAACAGGTCCAAAGCTGGTGACAAAGATGTCTGTCTTCACCTCGGTGACACCGCCTGCAACATTATTTAACAAAAGCAAAATGTACCTAAGAGCACAAAAAGTGCTGTTGCATAATGTCTTTATCTCGAAGGAGCAAGGTATTAGGACATAAAGTTTAAATTACCCCCAGAACCGGGTCGCAGTCTGTTGTCATAACCATCTAGAAGTCTGTCCAGAATGCGAGTGATGTTGTCTGAGTATATCTTTTCATTTCCCCATACATTACCTAGACTGCAGAGAGAAAATCAAACCTTAAACTCGCACGATCACTGCTTTCTGCTCCACGTTTAACTCCACAGACAGGACTTACCTCATCCAGCAGATAAAAGCAGCTAAAGTTAATGAAGGGACGGCCATCCTAGGTTTTGAATCAGGTTTCACAAGTTCATAAAATTAAAAAAAAGAAAAAGAAAAAAGAGCCACTTCAGAGCAGGATTTCTGCTTATGTGTCGCTAAAGTTACCAGTAGGTATGCATATGGACGCAGGAAACAACGAGGCAGGGAGTGTAATCTAATTAACAGATTAGAAAATCCACTCCATTTTTAGAAAAACTCCGGATTTAGTTGCTTTATTTAGTTAAAATAACTAACTAATAATAGTTAAAATAGGAGCATTAAAAACAGGAAATAAATACAACACGTGACATTTCAGTAACATTAAAAAGAAAGAAAAATCCTAGCTAAAGAGTCTATGGTGTGTCTCATAGGAGCAGGCAGTAGATGGCGCTGCAGCTTCCGTGATTTTCACAACCGGAAATGACACCGAGACTGAGAAAAAGAAGAAATTTGGAGCTTGTGAGGGGAAAACACCACAGGGAGAGGTAAAATACACCAACTTAAAAACAGACCTTTAAAGTTAAAAACAAAACAAAACATATAGGCAACTGTAACAGTTAACCGCACAGCAAGCCTCCAGCGTATCTTCGACCTGCTCGGTTTCACGCTGGAAGCTGGTCAGCGGAGGTTAGCCGACCCGTGAGCCGGCGTGCAGCCGTAGCATGTCGGTACACTTCGAGGAGAGGAGCGGTGTCGTCCCCTGCAAGACGCCATGGGGCTCTTGGTACCAGACCATGGATGAGGTCTTCATTGAAGTCAACGTGCCTCACGGGACCACTG